CGAGGCGGTATAAATTTGCGATTTAAAGTACTACAAATATGGGAAGCTGAATCAACTGCATAGAGTACGGTAGCAGCGATTCCACGAATCGTGAAATCTCTCTTGGGCGCAGTTCGGCGACGGGGGGCATTTTTCTTCCCATCGACGTGTCGATCCATCTAGATAGCCTTTTCTTGAGTTGACATGTTTTACCATGGTGGCTAGACGAGCTTGCTCCAGCTTCACAAGAGTTCACAGGTTTCACCAGAGTGAGACTTGTAAACCAGAAGTAGTGAAGCTGAGAGTGCAAAATGCCCCCCCCGGGTCGCCTAACTGCGCCCAGTGCGTGGGAAATGGTGTCTCTCGGTGTTTACTACTTAACGGTGATCTTTCTAAAGGTCGGTGCGTGATATGATGTTCTCGCCGGAGTTGAAAGGGAAGGTGGATGCGTTCCTTACCTTACATACTTACTCGCAGGTTGGTTGCTAATTGGTAGTTTTTGAATACTTTGCGATGTACCTTCACATTTTGTTTAGATGTTACTGTTTAGATGTGGATTCATCCTTTCAGTCATCAAAGGAAGACGGTGCCGGAGGACATCTCTGATATTGTACGGGCAGACAGATAGATCCTATTGTTCACCTCTAATCCCTTGATATCAGTCTGTTCTCTTACTGTTCATTCAGGAACAAGTTGGCAGAAAAGCAGTTGGAGCTTTGGAGAGCGTTTATGGTACCAGATATCGATTTGGAACCGGAGCCGATATCCTGTGTAGGTTGTTTTGGTACATTTGACAAAGAAAGTTTTTAAGTTCAGTTAGTTCTCATTAAACTGGATATTGTAGGACTCATAAAAAAGAAATTGAAAATCGAAAAAAATAAAAGGGAGAAAAAGAAAAATAAATGAATTAATAAGGAGGACAACTGAATTGCACTGCATCTCGAAGATTTCAGACCCATCGTCTGGTGGATCTGATGACTGGGCTAAAGGAAAAGGCGGCGCCAAGTATGTTTATCTGATGGAACTGCGTCCAAGTGAAGAAGGTATGTTGGTTTTCTTAAAGCGACTCCAGGAGGTTTCTTAAAGCAAAAACATTCAAGTGTATTGTTAAGAGTGGAGGGATGACAATGAAGTACTTCACCTCCAGCGGTCGCTCACTCTACCACTGTGCAGAACCCTTGTTGCCCTTATTGCGATTCGGTCCTTACTATGAATTGGGAGGGGCAAACTGAAGCCGAAGCTAGTGTTCAATTTCTCACGGCTACTCTCGGTAGTAGATCTTGAAGGGACGCAAGCGAGCTTGATCCAGCTTGGGATGCATCCCCTTTGAATCCTGGACTGTGATGAGCGAAGCACAGCGAGTTTGTATACTAGGAAAGATCAAGGTTACTATTCTGTATGAGAAAGTGTGATCCTGTCGGAACCGGGTGCTGTACGGTTCTTTACGGACGGGTTGGTGTGTGTACTTCGGAACGGAGAACTGAAGGAACGAAGTATAGAATAGAAGTCGAGGATGACCTTCTCCTTCGCCCTTTGGGACGCTGTGATTGTCCCGTCCTGACGCAGGAGCCTGGTCATCTTGGTCTTACACTTGGCAAAGTCACAGCGGGCTGTGCGGATGCTCTTCCAAGCCTCTGCGGCTTCTACCAGGTGATGAAAAAATAAAAAGATCTTCCGCATTCATGGGAAGTGGGGATGCCGCAAGAAGTTTTCGAGCAGACTCGGATCAATGCAGTGGCCGTAAGAGTCTTTGCCGGTAGCTGAGAGGACCAAGAAGTTTTGGATGGATTATCCAGTTCAAGTTGTGGTATCTTTAGGTGGATGGCTTTTATCCCAGTTCTGCATTAAGAAACCTCCAAATGTCCCCTTCCCTCCAGGTTTATTAGCGCCAATGTTATACCATCTTTGTGAGCAACATAAACTTATTTCAGTATGGGATGGATTCATCCTCGACTCACGTCAATTGATTCCAACCGGACGTGAGACATGGGCCGGTGTCAAGGTGGTTATCGAGGCAGTATTGAAGCTGAGACGAGGTAGTTTGAAGAAATTCCAAGTGCTTTTGTGGTGTTGTAGTGGCACAGCAATAGCGCTACACATGCTCTTTGAAAATTGTGCTAGGTTGTTAGGATTGAAACCACTGCCCTGAACGCACAGAAAGTACACTTATGCTCTTCCTCTAAAACTGATGCATCTATTACTTCGACTATTTGTTGCTACTGTCCACATCGTATTACAATTATTGTTTGCTATCGTAACTTTATACCTCTATCATCTTTACCACTTCTTTCAACGTCTGTTCCTTTGTCCGAGATTTCAGTTTTGCCTGAAGAGAAACTTGGAGAGATCAGCTCAGAACTGGAATGGGTAGCGCATGGGATAAGTTGTACATGGTACACATGACCTACGCCACCCCTTCCCCCACGGTGGGCCGGGGCGTGTGCT